TTTTTATCAATTTTTTAATTGTACAATTCATTAATTATCATTAAAATTTACTAAAATTTTAATTTTTACGTAGACCAAACGTGGGCAAAGTGGAGTTGATAAGGATGTTTTTCTTAACCTATTTATTAAATAAATGGGGTAGATACATGGTTACTTCCTTTGGGACCAAAACAGGCCGAATTCTGTGAATCCCAGTCAACTTCATGACCTCATTGCTTTCATCTTTCCTTGCTGCTTCCACGAAACACACATCCGCACTCAATGCTTCCAGAAACCCCCGCCTCCCCGCACGCATCCCACCCACGCCCCCACCAAGTGTCAAAATTTTCATAAAGAAGTTGGTAAAATTTAATGGTTGATACCCAATTTTGAAAAGTCCCGATTAAGTTTCGAAATTTCATAATTGTTTTAATTCAGGTCACTCTGTTACTTAGTGTCAATACAATTAAGCAAGGCCATCGAAAAAATAAGTAAAAGGCCCATGTTGTTGAACAATTGTATGAAAAACCAGTTCAAGAGTCGAGCAAGTCCGACCTCTCAACTCATCCATGCAAGCAAGCAAGTCCATGATAATTAGTATACGTTTGAGAATTTATATTTATGTGATTATAAGTTGTGTGGTCATACGGAATGTATGGATAATAGATGCAAGTCTTACGAATAGTGTGGATAAAAAAGTATGCTCGATCAGGGGCGGATCCAGACGACTTGGGTTAGGGGGTCAAAAATAAAATTTATAAGGTATCTTTTAATAAAAAAAAGTTAAGCAAAATTTTTTTTACCCAAAATCTAGAAAGTCAATTGCCCCTACAATCCCCCCCAGGTCCGCCCCTATGCTCGATCAGTTTAAATTATAATTTAATCATTTTTTGAACATGCTCGTAACGTTTGCTCACAAAGTATCCTCAATTGAAATAATTATAAAGTTTAGCGACTTGATTGATACTTCCCTCAAAGTTAGGCAACCAAGAAAACTTGCCTTGGAATAGTCTTTACTTTTGACCAAAGAATTTGTATTTCAATTCACTCCATAAGTATTTCAATTCGTCCACATTCTTTCCTTCTTACCTAATACTTTGGAATAAAGAGAACTTAGCCAGAAGTTCTCTCATTTTAACAGCTTTTCTCTATCCCATTCCCACATGGCTAGTAGTGAAACCATGTCAAATTCTACTGATTGGATGCATTTCTATCAACATAACTTATCCGGCCAACCTCAAAACACCCCAAGTTTTAATGGAAGTGTGTCTGAGAATGTAATGGCGGCCACTGCCACCGCCCCAGCCACCGTCGGTGGTGCCACGGCTGCTGCGCAAAGCAATTTGAGTCCAAGTTACTATAACTTGGACGTGGAGGGTGGTCGTGCTTCAAGACCTCTCAGAAGGCGAACAAGGGCCTCGAGGCGAACCCCGATTACGCTTCTTAACACTGATACTAGCAATTTTAGAGCCATGGTGCAGCAGTTCACTGGGGGTCCGAGTTCTTCATTTGCATCTCGGCCTGAGTATACCAATGGTACGATTTTTTTCGTTTAAAAGTTTAAATTGTTATGAAGAGTGCATAAACCTGATTTCAAGTAGGTCATGTCAGATTTGAACCCAGAACTTTTTACTTGCTCGAGACTAAAAGTTTAAGGTGTTACAGACTTAGAGAAATTTACTATCTACAATTTAAACCTTTAAACGGCCTCATCTAGAAACTTGAGTCTTTTAAATGTATATGTTGCAGGTATAAACTTTGGTTTTGGACATGGAACTCAACAAACTATGAACCCATCAGCAGCCATGCCTCAGAGTGGATTTCAAGTGCAATTCCAAAGACAACAACTACAATATCCAAATCATCAACAAGAAAGTTTCACTTCCCTGAACAATAACATTCAGGGTAATGCTGCTGCTTTTCTGCACAAATTCAGGCCTAACATGGGGATGGAGGCGTCTGGTGGCTTTGTCAAAAATGGAGGCTCAGCCCACATGCCACCGTCCGAGGGCGGCAGCTTCCACCAATGAGAAAAGGGATCTGCATAACAGCTGCAAGGAGTTTGATAATGACATGAAGGAAAGAGTTTCATTTGGTGCTGACTTTTGCTATTTGTTTCTTAGTTTTTCTTCCTTTGTTATGTATCCGTTCACATTTGTATAGAGGTTTCTTTGGCATTTTATTTGCACCTTTATATCTCACTATTAAAAACTGCAAATTTTTGGTCCTTGGTACTTAACTTTCCATCGCAAAGAGAAGTGGGTAAAATCAAGGTCGATTTGGTTATTTTTATATTTGCACTTTAATGGTTTAGTTCAATTAGATCCTTTGCAAGATTATGTTTTTTTTTTCTAGGTCTTTATTTAAATTCTCATTGTTACTTTATTGTTTGTTTATTGAATAAAGTAAAAGTTCGAGTTTTTAAAGATTTTTTTTATATGGTCCCATTTGGTACACATTAATATAAAAATAAGAATGAAAAATATAACAGTTATGGGTCCCGCACAAGAAATATGTAGTCAAATATAGTAGTTTGATGTGATGGATAACGATCATATTTTTCATTTTAATGAAAAAATAATGAAAAACAAACTGGCATAATAACAATTAACCTTGCTAGGCTGTCTGTCACTCATAATGGGGGTGACGGGAGAAATTTTTGTCTCTTTTAATTTTATGGGTCGAATGTGGGTCTCAACCTATGAGATTAGGTCAAGCATTTTGTCAATTTTTTTTTTATTATTTTTTTTTTCGGGCAAAGTAATTTAATTCTAATATCAATATTCAAGTTTTGAATTGACAAGTACGTCGATCAAATAAATTATTCTTTATCTGATTGCTAATTTTATTATTTTCAAGATTAATTTTTCTATTTAAATCTTATCTAATTACGTCGAACTAAAACATTTCTTTGCTCAATGACATTATAATGGACAAAACAACAATACAAATAGAGAAGCAAGTAAACAAAAAAATAACAAATACGTATCATATCTTAATTTACAAACAAATTTAACCCCTATTTAATTTAATAAAAATCAAAATTTTAATAATTTTAATAAGGATAGTTGAAAAGTTGATAACAATCGTGAATCTCATGAAATATGCAATTGAAAATAAATTAAAAAAAAATGAGCTTCAGAAAATGATAAATAATAAATCAATCAATATATCTGGTTTATGAGAGCTTTCATAGTGCTCATCTAAACTCTCTAGTATTGGACAATGCACACACACACACATCGATTTTGCGTTCCAAACTTATTTATTCCAGCAATCCAATGGACAGTTAATAAAACAAAGTAACGATGCGATTCATCACAACAAAAAGAAGAAAAAAAAGCTTGTCCATTAACAACAATCAAATTTAAAACTCAACATAAAAAGCCTGATCGCTTTATTAATTCCAGTATATGAGAACTGCTATGATCTTCTCACTGTTTTCAGCCCTATTCAGCATGTATAAGCACAAAATTTCAAGTACTGAGTCAATAGATCCCGAAATCTCCTATTTCTTTTCGAAGTTCTTTTGGAAGGGTTTTCAAGAAATGTCTAGCTGCCATTTGAGGAATCATTTTCTTGATCTACAACCAGGTACGTGTTTAAATGGAAAAGTCCATCAGTCAGCAAAAGGCAGTCATAATTCACCATCCTCATACATGGCTAGCAGTACCATTCAACTGGGTTGATCTCACATTAGGCTCATCCTGGTATTAGAGAGAGAGCAGAAGTAATAAGCTCTCGGCAAGTTCATAAAGACATTTTTATAAAACAACATGGTTAACTGTGACCAAACTGACTGGCAGACTGTAGCTGAAACTTGGTGGCCTAAAATCCAGATACCCCTAAACAGTTGGAGGAATAGAAAAAATGAAATTCTATATTCTAAATCATCATTTAACCAGATAAGCTTAAATACAATAAATTGAAAAATTGGGTTTAAAACACTGGAGGTCACTAAACTTCTAGCAAAATTTCAAGTTTATAACAACATACATATGTTACAATTTGGTCATTTCACCTATATCGTTAGTTAAATAACGGAAAAGCTAACGTGATAGTCTAGGTGGCAGATGCCACTTTTATTGAAATGGTCGGATTAACCAACTTGAACAACCAACATGAAATTTTGCCAACAGTTTGGTGACCCATGATGTATGGAAAATTATGTAGAAGTAGGCTACAATACCAGTCCGGTTGGGCTCTGTTGAGACCCAAAAAAACCATCATGGCTTGACGCAATTGAGTTCAACTGTCCCTACAACCAAATTCCAGACCTTACATTGTCACCCAACTATCTATCTATACATTTAAAAGCAGAGGCTCAAGAGAAAGTAAAGAGGTAATGTGTATGTGTGCATCTGTGGCATTAGGATATACGTACCAGACCCTGCATATTCTGTTGACTTACATAGTATGCATCATGGGGTGGCTCCATCAGATTTAACTGGATCTCCACACAAAAATTATCACAATTTTGTTTGCAAAATAATATATAAAGCAAGTATAATCTTCAAACCTTAAACCATTTATAACAATATGTGGGTTCAAACAAAAACATACCAACCCGTGCATGCTCTGCTGGGACCCATAGTAGCCATTTAGGGTAATTACATCTGAGCTTAGATTCTCCTGTGAGCAAGAAAATATAAAAAGTAAGGCATTAATCAGTAAAGTCACATATATAAATAAACGTATACAATTCAAACATCTACATGCTTGCATATGTATGCTTCCTTCTAATTTCTCTTTAGTATATTTTAAATTCCAATTAGTATTCCTTTAAAATTTCTCTTTGGTATATTTGAAATCCCAATCAGCGTCGCTGTTTTGGAAAAGAATGGAAGATGTTCAAGTTATAAGAAAAGCCTAACTCATTATACATCATAAGCAGCATTTCACAAGGACTATGACTAGGTTACAGTATAACTTACCATCTGTAACAAGCTTCCTTGAGCCTCAACAACTACACCTCCTGTCTCTGGTTGTAACTGGGATTAACACAGTTATTTTGTTAGAGGCAAATGGTATAAAAAAAAGAACAAGTAATCTAAAACGAACCTTTCTTTTCTTGTTTGTACTCTTCTTCTTATTTGTTTTGGTAGCATGGACTACCTGATTCTCCTCTTCAGCACAACAAAGAGCAAAAGCATCGCTACTATAATCAGCAGCACTCCTGTTAACATTCACACAGTTCTTCAGAGCTTCAACTAATGCACGATGAGCTATATTGTATCTCTTCTCAGATATCGAACCTTCTTCACCCAATTTAATAGCACGTTTGCATAGATCATTGTACTTTTGCACCCTAGTTTGTGTTCTTCTGGTTCCCTCTATCAACGATTGACTGCGCTTCGCATCTTTTGTCCACCTCTTCAATATATATTGAGACGGTATGCTTGAAAGACCACACATTTGAAGGACAATCATTGAATGTCTACAAAGAAAACCTTTATATTCAAACAAAAGGCAAGAACAAGAAACCTCTGATTTTGCCTCATTCCATTTAACCATAAAATTCTCTGTTTTTTCGCAGTCATCAACTCTGAAAGTAACATTAGTTCCACTTTCACTTTCCTTCTTAGGATGGCACCCTACCACCCCCAAAACCTCAACTTGAAATTTCTTGAACATTGTGTGTGTATAAATAGTCGACATTTGTTTTTCCCAAGGGGAAGGTGACTTCAGCGCCGGCTGTTTGTGCCATGTATCGAAGTCTGCTAGGTCTTCCTCTTCAAACCTATTACTAAGGATCATCCCATACTGTTTCACAAACTCTTTAAGACTGATTTTCTTGGGAATATATTTATCAAAGAAAGAGTTGACACTTTCATTTCGCTGGGTTGTAGACAATCCAGCCAAAAAAGTACTTCTCATAAAGGTGGGAACCCACTTTTTGCGGTGTTCATACAATGAATGAATCCATTCATTGTCTTGTAGTTCAAATCTACCGACCATCTTCCACCACCTCATGTCAAACACTTCATCCGTCAACGACTTGAATATACATTTATTGAATTTTCTCATAAAATTCTCGTGCTGTTTGATTACATGAGCAAGAGTTTCAGGGATCCTTTCCAGTATATGCCAAAGAGCAAAGCAATGACGCGAATAAGGGCAAACTTCTTCAATAGCTGATTTCAGCGGTCTGTCTTGATCAGTGATTATAACTTTAGGAGGTTGCCCACCCATTGCTCTGAGCCAAGTCTTCATTAACCAGACAAATGTAGGTCTAGTTTCATCGGCTAACAATGCACAACCAAGCAACATGGGCTGAAAATGATGGTTCACCCCAACAAATGGAGCAAATGACATCTTCTCATTGCTTTTAATATAACTGGTATCTAATAAAACAACATCACTGAAGCTGATATAGTCTTTCCTGTTTCTGGCATCGACCCAAAATAAGTTCCTCAAAACCTGATCTTCATTCAAATCGACTGCATAAAAGAAATTAGGATCCAATCTTTGGATTCGCATAAAATAGTCAAGCATTACTTGTGCGTCCCCCTCTTCTAGTGCCAAGTACCGACCTCTATCAAATTGATGGTCAAATTCATTCTTTATGAGGCCTAGATTTTGAAGTCCACCAGATTTTTTAGACATCTCAACATACATCTTTCTTGTCCGTTCACTAACCGCATGTAAAGTGTCGATGTTATTCTTTTCAGCTAATTTAACATTCTTACGAATTCGGAAATGATAAGCTAAGGCAGGTAATAGCTCGTGATTGTGCTCCTTTATAAATTCATGAATATACCATTTTCCATCTCGCTTTCTCTTCACATTCTTCTAGTGCCAAGTACCGACCTCTATCAAATTGATGGTCAAATTCATTCTTTATGAGGCCTAGATTTTGAAGTCCACCAGATTGTTTAGACATCTCAACATACATCTTTCTTGTCCGTTCACTAACCGCATGTAAAATGTCGATGTTATTCTTTTCAGCTAATTTAACATTCTTACGAATTCGGAAATGGTAAGCTAAGGCAGGTAATAGCTCGTGATTGTGCTCCTTTATAAATTCATGAATATACCATTTTCCATCTCGCTTTCTCTTCACATGCATGCTCGCTTTACAATCTGTCTTTTTCACACTCGGACGTCTACTACTGCTGCTATCAGATTCTGGTGCGACTCCATATCTTGAACATGCAAATTTAGCGTCAATGAATTCTTTGGTTTTCTTTGAGCGACGACTGTTTTTTATTGAGGTGGTGAACCCCATCGACTTAGCATACTCTTGATAAAATGAACATGCTGCCTCATGTGATTCAAATTCGACGTCATCATGTGGCTCAAAGTTATCTTCTTCATTTCCAATAAGGTTTCTTTTAGGAGAAGTAGCTTTCTGGCCATCCCTGTCGGGCGCTTCATCCACAACATCTACCATATTCAAAACTATTGCTTCCTAACCACCTTTGCACATCCACCATACTATCTACAACATTTTCAGTATCAGTAATTTTATCTAGTTCAACCAAATACCCACTTTTCTCCTGTAAAGGAAAATAATAATGCGATGGCGTATAAGATCATTGGCTTAAGGAACACGACAGAGCTGTCATAATTGATTCGAACTACAATAAAAGGACCCCCGCCCCCCACCCTTTCCCCGTAACATAGAAAATATTGAAGCATATAAAGTTCACTAAACCCAAAAAAATTAATTGATGAAATGATATATTTATTTTACACTCAAAAACATAATTAAAAAAAAAAAAGAAAAATAAACCCAAAATTAAGGTATTCCGCACTGCACCAGCGAAAAAAAAGTCCAAAAACGAAATAAAAAACTAAATTCAAGACTAACCAATTCTTGAAGCTAAATTCATAATATTAGTGGCAACGAATTTCGAGCCGCATCTCCTCGATTATATATCTTCTGTATTTATTTGTAACGAGAATTTAGCAGAATTTTATACAGGAATTTCAATTGACTGTGATTTTGCATTTGAAAGAGAATGTTTAAAGGGAAGGGGGATTCTGAAGATTGATGAAGAGGCAGGTTTTTCCCAACGCCGCTAAATTATACGTTCCAATCACAATCTTCACGCCTCGTTACACTTTCACCGCAACCATTCTTTTCCCCAACAATTTTAACTTCAATCTTTCATTAATTAATGTTATTCGTAGCTTAGTTAGTAAAGTCAAGTTTTGGCCAACTCTCGCCAATGACAACGGTGTCGAATTGATGACGAAAAAGACTCGACATTTAGGTGATCTGTTTGGTAATGTGG